AAAACTCTGTTGATAGTATCTGTCTATATTTCTGAGATGAGGTATTATTTACACTATTTACATTATTCGGACTATTGTAATTAACAGGAGATAACTGATAACTGACATCCATTAAAAACATGGCATGTGGAACTAGAACAGTCTACCCCAGTGAGCGAAATAAAGGGTTCAGTTCGACATTCCAACCATCTAAAGAAGGCCGGAGCGTACAATGGCCGAAACGTAATAAATATGGCGACAAAGATGAGGACATTAGTCCGAATAATGTAAATAATGAACTCCGTTGTTAGTTCGATCCTTTGGTTAAGACAAGCTAATATTTACAAAAAAAAAAGTTTTAAAAAGAAAAAAAGAGATAAATAACAGCGCAGGGAGAATTCTAATTGTGTGTAGGTAATAGGTTCGAGCCTAATTAGAAGCCTTGTTATACTGGCTAAATTTTACAAATATTTTCTCAAATACAGAGAAAGAGAGACAGAGAGATCACTACGAATTTAAGTATGAGACATTAGACGAATTCACTTAGAAGTATTTACTATAGTCTGGGGCGCGGTTATAGTCTGTTTTTTGTTTGATATAGCAGTTTTATTTTTCAGCGTTGACTTTGGTTAATACTTGAACCCAAGTAAAGGCTAGAATTTCGAATACTGCTATTCGAGGTCTGTTTGACAACTGAGTTCGTAGGAAAATCTTTATGAATATGCCTTGCGCCGAAATTGACTTGATCCAACGTTATTTTGATAGACTTCGAAGAGTTGAGCTTTTCTCTTACAAGTAATTCGCAAAAACCTTGATTCTCTGCAAGCGTTCAGGTAGCAATTTCGAACGTGGTTAACAAAGGTTTCGTCGTCATTGTTTTGGTTAGGAAATACGTAGTGTGTCCCCTGAATTTATCCAGTCCTTTTATAATAATGTAAATATGCCGCCTAATGGAGCTTTAATATCATTACCGGGACGCCGATTCAATTTTTCATATCGTCGCGTTTACCTTACTCTCGTCCAAAGCATTTCAGCAGCAATTTTAAGTTTGGTAAAACCTAAGTCACATGAGATAAATCTGTGTTGTCGGAGAATTTTGTAGACCAGGTAGGGATGACGTTTTACCAAAATCTCAATGAAAGTGATGTAAAAAATCCACCAGCTCCGTCACTGTGAATAGGACGGTCACACACTACACAAGCTCACTCAATGACATTTCACTGTTGACTTATTAACCCAACAAGGGAGAATCTCTTCATGCATGCGCAGTAAGGTTCTTTCGAATTTACATTAAGCTCCTTCTCTTGAAATATTTTAAATAGCTGAATACTTCCCGGAACACTCAAGTCTCATACGCTCCATTTGTGGAGTATAGAGAGGGGTCACAACCGTGACAAGTGCTTTTTTAACTGGATCGCGTTGCCAGCCCCATATTCAGCCGGTTTATGAATTCAGAGATGTTCTCCTAGACTGGTTGCCAATCAGGATCAAAGAACCTAGTCTGCCCTACTATTTAACCCGTAGCTGGTGCGGACGGAAGAGATGGATTCATAGCTTTCCCATGAGTATTTGTGCGAAAGTCTATATAACAAACTCGACTTTCTAATTTATTATCCCGAGTCATTAAATATTATCCATTCTGCACATCCATAATTTCCCGAAAACTGACGTAGATATGGAAATGTAGAAATGTTCAACGATTTACAGTGGAAGAGTTACGGGAATCACTAATCACAAAAATAGCAACATTTCGAAAAGAAATAGATTTAGTAAAAGAAATAAACGCCATTCCTTCGTCTAACGTCAAAAGAATAACATTGAATTCATTTTTGAATTTCAATCTCGTATATGACAAATTCAATTATGTCTCCATCTTTACGTTCATTTCTACTCAATAGCCTCTAGAATAATTTAGAACATATCCGTTACAGTAACTGAAGATTGCGTTGAAGCATGAAACAGATGGTCGTTTACTATGCTACACCTATTTCTCATTTGTCAAGATGTCTGCTTTCAGAAGTAGAAATCTTGCAAGTCAAAATGCAATAAGAAATAAATTTAATCTCGAAATTCAGTCTGAATACACAAAATACAACAATTGAATCGTGAATATATATATATATATATATATATATATATATATATATATATATATATATATATATATATATATATATATCAGGGAGAGGCTATAGTTGTTCCAATGAGAGTAAAGTGTATATTTTAAAGATAAGCGAGAAGCCGCAAACGTTTTTGGTCATAATTTGGATTTAAAAAATTTTTTTAAATATATATTATACTCTATTTTCCATATGGAAATTAGAATGCACACTATGCCAGAAATAATATGTAGTAAAATCTGAATGGTCCTTTAACTACAGAATTAATAATTACCGGAATCGGATCAAGTCGGCTCTCCATGAAAGATTATTACCTGTGGATTAACATTTACGCTTAGAAAAACATGATTTTATAAGCCATGCAAAATTCACTATAATTGAAAAAAATAGAAATAGACAGAAAAGATAATCTTAGAAAACAAATGGATTTTGCGCCTCAAAACACTTCGTCCAGAAGGGCTTAACCATAAATTTAACAGCGTAGTTAGAATTGATATATAACCTCATAAATCAAGCCCTACCCACATTTCTCACCCCTACAAGACAGGAATGCTTGAAGGGGTGTTGAGTTCTCACACTTATACACACACTCATACTAATATATACACGTACACATATCGCACAGATGCTCCGAAGGAACTAAAAGATAACATACATTTAATACAGACATCGAATTCCCACCAACCAATAAAACTATCAAAATGACCAAGGAGGGAATTCTTAAAGTCAGGAATCTCCCATTCTCTATCTTAAAAACAACTTGAAAGAGGCCTTTTGACCAACACAAGGACTGGCCAAAATTAACGATAAAAAAATTAAATGAAAACTACAGAAAAAGTTCATTTTCTTCAGAAACATCCTTTCACTTCTGTTCAATCCTACTAACAAGCAGGGATCTTTTCTCCTGATGACGGCAAAACTAGTCGAGGAACCTAACTGGAATAATAAAACGAAAAATATTAATATACAACTCTAATTTCAACTTTTAATAATTTTATTGTTCAAAACACACACACACACACACACACACACACACACACACACACACACACACACACACACACACACACACACACACACACATATATATATATATATGAAAATTCCACAACAACATCCACAATAAGGAAAAACTTAAACTGCAACTCCCAAAATGTGATTTATGCACTCAAATGAAACAAGTCCTATATTGGCATCAGCCAAGCACTAAACAACAGTGTTTCCCTTCGCAAGAACAACATCAAATTATCAGACAACAGACAACTCTTTGTATCACAACACATCTACAAATGTAATCAAGGTAAATTTAAAATTATGACAATATTTCAGACAATTCTTCTTATCTACAAATACAAAAAAAGCATCATAGACAAATTTAAATTCGTACGTAAAAGATCACACTAGATGAATCTCACACACGCACAGATATATATATATGGAGAACGAATATATATATACACATACTGGCAAAAACAAAAACACTAGACGGGGCACACACAGACACACGAAACCTACACACCATAGAAATATATATATATATATATATATATATATATATATATATATATATATATATATATCAGGTCATCCCATAAGTTCTGTCCGAATTTTGAATAAAGAAAACAAGTGACCAAATTTTTGTTATTTAATTACAGATTCAATCAACAATTTATTTTCCCTGATTATCTATGACTTCCTTCCATCTATTAACAAGCTTACTAATTCCATTACTGTAAAATTCTTTTGGCTTTGATTTGAAGAACTCACAAATGTCAGTTTTAACCTCTACCTGTATTACAAATGCTGTTTCTTCCAAATGATTCTGTAAGCTACGAAACAAGATCGGGAGAATAAGGTGGATGAGGAATTTTCTCCCAACCAAGTTCTTCGATCTTTTGTGACGTGATCCTTGCTGTGTGGGATTGCGCATTGTCCTGATGAAACATCACCCCTTTTCGATTCACTAGAGCAGGTCTTTCTTTTCCTCAAAGCTTGGTTCAAACGCTCTAATTGCTGACAGTATATTTGAGCATTAATTGTTGCATTAGGTGGTAAGAATTCAAAGTGGGTTATTCCTTGGCGATCCCACCAGATGTCAACTCTGGATTTGAGGTTGTTTTCAGACAATACATGAGGCACCCATTTTCCAAGTTGAGGAACTTTTCCAAGTTGTTGAAGATGACGATGAACATTTGTATAGTTTGAACTGAGAACCACTGCCAATTCCTCAACTGATAAAGCAAGATTTTTTTCAAGGGCTGCTTCAAGAAGCATTTCCTCAAACTCAACTGGACGTCCGGTTCATCTTCAACGGTGAAATCTCCACCTCTGAATTTTGGAGTTCTTTCATTCACACATTCCTCTCCATAAACTGAGTGAATGTTTCTAGACGCTTCGGCTGCTGATTTTCCTTTCTGGAACTCATAAAGCATTTTGTGCATCAAATGATTCTTGGGTGCTTTCATGTTAGCAGGTTTTAATCAAACAAAATTTAATTTTGTTTTTCTCTGAAATAAAATTTGATCAGTTTAAATGCATCTAAACATAAAAATAATGTCCAGCTCCATTAGACATTATAAAATACTCTTTAAATTTCGTTCCTTTTAAAAACAGGTAAAATTCGGACAGAACTTATGGGATGACCTGATATATACGCACACACACACATCTCTCTCTCTCTCTCTCTCTATATATATATATATATATATATATATATATATAAGAATTCTGACCAGCATTGGGTATTAAGAACTTAATTTATTTTCACATTTGTAAAGGTAAAGAATAAGATTTGCGGACTATGTGAGAAACAAGTTTTATGGAGATATGAAGAAAAAAAGACACTTGTAATTAAAATCAGAAAAAAAGGCAGTTGAAATATCTGGAAAGTGCACCTCTCACAGGACATTGTGAAGATAAGAATATCTGGGATACATAACAAGAAAAATGCAACAATTGCAAAACATTGTGGAGATAAGAATATCGGGGACACATAACGAGAAGAAAGCAAAAATTGCAGGACATTGGAAAGATAAGAATATCTGGGACACATAACGAGAAAAATGCAACATTCGCAGGACATTTTGGTGATAAGAATATCTGGGACACATAACGAGAAAAATGCAACATTCGCAGGACATTGTGGAGATAAGAATATCGGGGAAACATAACGAGAAAAATGCAAAATTCGAAGGACATTGGGAAGATAAGAATATCTCGGAGATATAACGAGAAGAATGCAACATTCGCAGGATATTGGGAAGATAAGAATATCTGGGACACGTAACGGGAAAAATGCAACATTCGCAGGATATTGGGAAGATAAGAATATCTGGGACACGTAACGGGAAAAATGCAACATTCGCAGGATATTGGGAAGATAAGAATATCTGGGACACGTAACGGGAGAAATGCAACATTCGCAGGATATTGGGAAGATAAGAATATCTGGGACACGTAACGGGAAAAATGCAACATTCGCAGGATATTGGGAAGATAAGAATATCTGGGACACGTAACGGGAAAAATGCAACATTCGCAGGATATTGGGAAGATAAGAATATCTGGGACACGTAACGGGAAAAATGCAACATTCGCAGGATATTGGGAAGATAAGAATATCTGGGACACGTAACGGGAAAAAATGCAACATTCGCAGGATATTGGGAAGATAAGAATATCTGGGACACACGTAACGGGAAAAATGCAACATTCGCAGGATATTGGGAAGATAAGAATATCTGGGACACGTAACGGGAAAAAAAGAATGCAACATTCGCAGGATATTGGGAAGATAAGAATATCTGGGACACGTAACGGGAAAAAATGCAACATTCGCAGGATATTGGGAAGATAAGAATATCTGGGACACGTAACGGGAAAAATGCAACATTCGCAGGATATTGGGAAGATAAGAATATCTGGGACACGTAACGGGAAAAATGCAACATTCGCAGGATATTGGGAAGATAAGAATATCTGGGACACGTAACGGGAAAAATGCAACATTCGCAGGATATTGGGAAGATAAGAATATCTGGGACACGTAACGGGAAAAATGCAACATTCGCAGGATATTGGGAAGATAAGAATATCTAACGGGACAACATCTGCAGGATATTGGGAAAAAGAATATCTGGGACACGTAACGGGAAAAATGCAACATTCGCAGGATATTGGGAAGATAAGAATATCTGGGACACGTAACGGGAAAAATGCAACATTCTGCAGGATATTGGGAAGATAAGAATATCTGGGACACGTAACGGGAAAAATGCAACATTCGCAGGATATTGGGAAGATAAGAATATCTGGGACACGTAACGGGAAAATGCAACATTCGCAGGATATTGGGAAGATAAGAATATCTGGGACACGTAACGGGAAAAATGCAACATTCGCAGGATATTGGGAAGATAAGAATATCTGGGACACGTAACGGGAAAAATGCAACATTCGCAGGATATTGGGAAGATAAGAATATCTGGGACACGTAACGGGAAAAATGCAACATTCGCAGGATATTGGGAAGATAAGAATATCTGGGACACGTAACGGGAGAAATGCAACATTCGCAGGATATTGGGAAGATAAGAATATCTGGGACACGTAACGGGAGAAATGCAACATTCGCAGGATATTGGGAAGATAAGAATATCTGGGACACGTAACGGGAAAAATGCAACATTCGCACGATATTGGGAAGATAAGAATATCTGGGACACGTAACGGGAAAAATGCAACATTCGCAGGATATTGGGAAGATAAGGATATCTGGGACACGTAACGGGAGAAATGCAACATTCGCAGGATATTGGGAAGATAAGAATATCTGGGACACGTAACGGGAAAAATGCAACACTTGCAGGACATTGTGTAGATCAGAATACCTGGACACATAGCGAGAATAGTGCAACACTCGCAGGACATTGTGAAGATAAGAATATCTGGGACACATAACAAGAAAAATGCAACATTCGCAGGACCTTGTGAAGATAAGAATATCTGGGATACATAACGAGAGGAATACAACACTCGCAGGACATTGTGAAGATAACAAAGGCAGTGAAATAAATTGTCGTAAATGGATGACAGGAGAGCGACTCGTGAGTGTGAAACAGAAAGGAAACAAATAGTTGCTTAGAGCCGCAAAATTTAGGATGTTGTGGAATGACCTGCCTGTCTATATCCTTAAATGACACAGTCCATAAAAGAAGCAGAATATAAGATCATTTTATGATAATATTTACCTGGTGGTATTTGAACGCAGCCATGCATACAATGAGATACAGGGAGATACGCGCGAGAATTTGCTAATGATGGTTTCCAATGTAGTCATACAATTTCGATATATGGAATATTGGCGCAATCTGTCAGGTTCAAACCTATATCTATTTTTTGATTAAATATAGTATCAACACTCTCTTTCGCAGACACACACACACATATATACATGTGTGTGTGTGTCTGTGTGTGTGTGTGTGTGTGTGTGTGTACCTAAATCTTCTAATGGTTACCATTTGTTTACATATCGTGTAAGATAGCAGCTACCTTGCCGTCCTTCCTTTATATCTGTCAGCACTTTAAACCTGATCCTACTTCGTGTTGGCATTATTTTTACTGTTTATTTCATCTGCCGAATTTAATGGGGTTCTTTGGTTTCTGTAAAATCTATTTTCACTGGTAAGCAGAGTACAATGTGTAAAATTGTACTTCTCTGCCTATAATGCTAAAAATGATTCTTGTTAAAGACAAAGAAAACAAATCAAAAAAGCATTTTTTTTTCTTGAAGAATTCTTACAGTGTACTTTATTGTCGTGATTGTAGGGTACTTTATTGTCGAGATTGTAGTTTTGTTAGAGGCCACAAAATTACAGTTTTTTCGATTTTCTCATATTTAAATGCTCGAATTTAGAAAAGAAAATTATAAATTTTAATTATTTACAACTAAAAAAGCCACCATTTTGATTTCTCGGTGAGAAAAACGCACTTTTAAGGATTTATGTGAGTAGCCGAATAACAATTCTTTGTTAATGCACTCTCTTTCGATACTCGGAAGCAAAATTACTTCGTCAATATGAATGTATTTTCTTTCCGCCATTTTAGTTTTGATTTGGAGTGATATGAAGCATTGCAACAATTCGATCGTGCAAATGGTATGATCAACAGCGACTGAAAGATATTCGTTTAAGTATATTAGATTTTTAAGAAATTTCATAAATCACTTTATATAAAACACGCTTTGTATACAATATTTTATAATATTTCATTTAAAACGGACTTTTGAGAAAAACTCAAAATCTATTAAATCTGATCCTGTTTACAAAACTCAATAGGAATAAATTAAATACTAAAATGTTATATATCACTCTATATTGGGCAAATTTCTTGAAACACTACTGTAAATTTAGCATCGGTCTGGCACAGGGCGTTAATGATGGAGAATCCTTTAAGAGTGACTCAAGATAATACGCAAATTACAATCTTGGGAAATCAACAAACTTTCCTTTTGACAAGTTCGTTAAATATGACGGACGAGGAATATTGTGTCTTTATAAGCGTTGTTATTTGAAGACTGAGTGTGTGAGGAAATTGTCTATAGAATTGGTTTTATAGAATGTTCTGACTGAGTTCAGAAACTAAGAAAAAATCTGCTCAGAAGGAAATTACTTCGTCTATAAATGGTTCTCATGCAATAATAAGAGAAAACAAAATGAATATAGATTATTACTCATCGACATTACGGAAAAAGTAAGCCCAATGTTTAAAATGGCTTTTATAGTATTTACCGAAAGCGCTCGAGCAAGCCAACACTACGATTAGTTTCTCCACAAACCTAAGTCCTAAAAAGATGAAAAAGATATTCCTTGTACGACATATTTAACGAAGCGTATAACACACACACACACACACACACACACACACATAGACACACACATATATAATATAATTTTTATTATAAGAGAATATAATAAAAACATGTTGAAATCGCTACACAAAAAGTTTTGTTTCAATACTTTTCATTGTACATCTAAAATTTGTTTTTAAATTTCCTTAAAAACCATTTAATCGCACATGGCCTGAAGAAGTACAATCAAATTATTGAAACGTGATGGCTTTTGTGTTGCGATTTCAATGTTTTTATTATAATTTTTAAAAATAAAAATGATATATTGCTCTACTTTGTATTGAGCACTCTTTTAAAAGTAAATGTTACGAACAGTGTAATTTTACTTCATTTGTTCTTTCTCTCATTTGTATATATATATATATATATATATATATATATATATATATATATATATATATATGTATGTATAGTGTGTGCGATGGATAAATTGTGACTAAATTACGCAAAAATGAAAATAACACTGACATCTCATTTTAAGAGATATATTTGCCAAACTTAAGAAATGATTGCAAGAAAAGGTAAGAAAATAAAGGGAAGAAGAAGTCTGAGTAAAAAAGAAGCACGTTTAGAATGATCAGAATAAAGAAAAGGAAAAGGGGTAGAAAAAGAAGTAAAGGGAAAAGAAAATGAAAGTGGGTAAGAAGTACGATGAGGAAAAAGAAGAATTATAAGGAGAGAGAGAAAGAGAGGGAGAGATACATTGGGAAGAAAAGGAAAAATAATAGGAAAAAATATCTATCTATCTATCTATCTATCTATCTATCTATCACAGTCTATTCATTATCTATCTATCTATCTATCTATCTATCTATCTATCACAGTCTATTCATTATCTATCTATCTATCTATCACAGTCTATTCATTATCTATCTATCTATCTATCTATCTATCTATCTATCTATCTATCTATCTATCGTCAGGATACGTTCGTATTTCCAACAGCTACCATTAAGCGTTGTCCCAGCTCACTTAAAAGACAAAATTTCGAATGCTAATTTTCAAGTAAGTGACTTGAGTTGGCTAGATCTAGCCATAAGTTCTATGCTAACAATTTTTTTTCTCGCTTGTGGAACTCCCTTACGGATTCATGCAAGAATTTAAATGCAATGTCAATCGCTATCTACTGTCCTCATGATCACTCTTTCCTTTTCCCGCTCATTATTAATGCTTCTCTTTCTAATTCTTCCACACCCTGTAACCCCTTGTGTCTTAGTGTCTTTATTGCCTTGCATAGGGTGAAACTGATTAAAAAAAGAAAGAAAAAAGTGGATCCCACGTGGAAGACCTTTGTTTCTTCGCTGTTTGGCTCTATGCTGTATCAAAGATAAACTTAGATCAATTTAGAAGTAAGATCTTTGATGAAAAAAGGACTAAAGAGAAAAAGAGAAATTGTGATGAAGAGAGAGAAAGAAATAGGAAGAAAATTAATGTAGTACAATTGAGTGAAAGAAAAGGAAAGACTTAGAAAGAATTGGTAAAGGAATAAGAAATGAAAAGGAAGACATCTGATGAAGAAACGAGGGGCAGAGGAAATCAAGAATAAAAATTACGTAGGACAAAAAGTAAAACAAAATCATTTCATTTTCTACAACTAAATATTAGTTCGTCTCCGGACACCAGTATTTGGCTTTCATTGTCTGACGTATAAATGAAAAAAGGACATGTTTATGAGTAACGCTAAATTTCCACAAAGGTTTCAAAAGCCATAAAAAACGGCAAAAAGTCATCGTGAGAATTCTTAAGGCGGTGCCATTCTCACACCCAGATAGAATGTGTTTGTGTTTGTTTTGTTTCGGGAGCACTGACTTTGTCCCTTCCCGCCAAGACAAAATAGAAGTCGGGCGTGACGCTATTTAGGGCCATGAGACATTTTACACAATCGAGGTCACGTTGGTGATATGGTGTGGATGGATCGACCAATCTCGATCTGCGTCGTTTTGTCCTGAGTCATTAGAGCGTCTCTGAACGTGGATCCGACTCTGCTGTGTCGAGAGAAAAAAAAAGGAAGTGATGGACAAATGCCAAACATTTGGAAGGCAAATAAATAAATCTATTAAAATAAAAAAGAGACATATTAAAGGTGCTTTGTATGCATAAATGTGTGTATGTTTGTGTGTGTGTGAGAAAGAGAGAAAAGAGAAAAAAGAGAGAAGGGAGCGAGAGATAAAACAATAGAAAAAGAAATTAAAGGTGTGTGTGTGTGTGTGAGAGAGAGAGAGAGAGAGAGAGTGAGAGAGAGAGTGAGAGAGAGAGGGAGAGAGAGAGTGAAGTTCAAAAGTCGGGGATCAACAGATCGGAAGAGTGAAAGAGAATGATAAAAAGGAGAAAAATCGATAAAAAGGGTTGAGAGTGAAGGGAGAAAGAAAGAAACATTTAGAGTTCGAAAGAGGTTAAAGCAAAGAGAGATCTAGAAAGAGGGACGTCAAGAGATCGATAGAGAGAGTGAGCGAGAGAAAGAAAAAGAAAGGCAGAAAGATAACAGGATCGAAAGAGACAGAAGGAGGGATCGAGAGAGAGACAGAGGGAGGGGGGAAAAGATAGAGAAAGAGAGACTGACAAAGTGAGCTAGAAAATGAAAAGATATACAGGAAGATAACAGGATCGAAAGCCACAGAAGTAGGGATCGAGAGAGAAGTAGAGATAGAGAGAGAGGAAGAGAGAGAGAGAGAGAGAGAGCTAGAGTCAGCGAAAGAAAGAAAAAGAAAGACAGGATGATAACAGCATCGAAAGAGACAAGAGGAAAGTTCGAGAGAGAGAGAGAGAGAGAGAGTAAGTGAGGGGCGTGAAAGATAGAGAAAGTGAGACTGACAGCGTGAGATAGAGAAAGAAAAAAGGTAACATAATCGAAAGAAACAGAATGAAGGATCGAAAGAGAGTAGAAGAGAGGGAGGGAAAAAAGAGAAAGAGAGACTAATAGATTGAGCGCTGAGAAGTATCGAAAGAGACAGGAGGAAGGATCGAGAAAGAGTAAGAGAGAGGAAGGGAAAGATAGAGAAAGAGTAACTGAAATAATGACCGATAAAAAAAAAAGAAAGACAGGAAGATAACAGGATCGAAAGAGATACAATGAGGGATCAATAGAGAGAGGGAGTGAGAGAGAAGAGAGAGAGAGAGAGACTGAAAGAGTGAGCGAGAGAAGGAAAAAGAAAGACAGGAAGATAACAGGATCGAAAGAGACAGAAGGAGGGATAGAGAGAGAAGGAGAGAGAGTGAGAGGGAGGGAAAGAGAGAGAAAGCGAGATTGAAAGAGTGAGAAATGAAAGAAAATTAAAGACAGGAAGATAACAGGATTGAAAGAGACAGAAAGATGGAACGAGAGGGAGTGTGAGGGAGGGAAAGAGAGATCTAGAGAGACCGACAGAGGGAGTGATAGAAAGAAAAAGAAAGACAGGATGATAGCAGGATCGAATAAGACAGAAAGGGTTGAGAGAGAGAGAGAGAGAGAGAGAGAGAGAGAGAGATCGAGAGAGACAGGGTGAGAAAAAACGATAGACTGACAGAGTGAGCGAGAGAAAGAAAAAGAATATAACAGTATAGAAAGAGACAGAGCAGAACTAATAAAGAGAGAGAGAGAGTAAGAGAGAGAAAAGGTGAGAGCTAAAGATTTTCTGTCTCTCTTTCTCGAATAAAGAAAAGGAGGAACAAAGAAATGATGAGATAGAGAGAAGGGAAGTAAAGATAAAATTGTGTAATGTGATACTTAAATATGGGATCAGTTTTCTCAACACTTCGATATGACGTCATTTTCTTTAATATCTATTTGGCCCATCGTGCTGTGAATCACACATAACATTTACAAACGACGATATATTTCCCTCTCTACAAAATCCTTTATCATCTTTATAGACAAGATTAAAAACAGAATCAATAAGAAGACGTTTGATTTGACTTGCAGTTATTTTGTGCTTGACTGTGCTTGACAAAAAAAAAAAAAAAAAAAATCGAATATCACATAGTATAAAGCACTGCGTTTTGGAAACTCATCAAAAACATTACTTTTGCTTATAAATAAAAATCCTAAATTTATTAAAGAAAAAATTCATACTCCTAAACATTTCGAAACTGAATGTTATTTTTAAGGGAAAAAAAAAATTAAAATCCTGGCAATCATTGTATTGATATTTCTCCACTGAAATAGCATAGTCTCCGTCAAAATGACGAGATTATACATGGATCACTATTTTTGATTTGCATCCACGGATAGCATTTTTTTTTTTAGCTGAGTTTTCATATTCATGCATCATAAATAAACAATATTCTGGCGATTTCGACACCGGGGAAGCACCTTTTCATTGCACTACAAGGGGAGGCTCGAAGTATTCTATCACCTTCGTTACGATGGTTACGAGGCAAACTTTGCCTTGCTTAGACGTTGTCGAATTTATCTTCGTCGAAACGCGAATGAAAAATAAATCGGACACACACGTACACACGCACGTGCACACACACACACACACACACACATGCACACACACACAAACACACACAGACATATATACACATATATGAAAAAATATAGTCTTAAGGTGTGCTATATTTATGGGATAAAGTGCTCAATATTAGAGATAGAGCGTGTGTGATTGGCTAATCTCTTATTTTATATATATATATATATATATATATATATATATATATAAGAAATATACTCTTAAGGTGTGCTATATTTATAGGATAAAGTACTCAATATCAGAGAGAGAGAGAGAGCGTGTGTAAATATAAAAGTGAGGCGACAGGCTGTTTCATGCTAAACGCAATCGTCAGGCCAGGAGTGTTGTTTTTTTTCTAGGATATTTATATATACGGGTCAGTGGTGCATTGTGGGTAGTCTATTTTGGCGATTATTTTGCCGGAAGTCGTTTATTTGTTTGTTTAAGTGGGCTAATTTAGTTTGCTTGTGTTTTTTTATTTATTTTTGTTTTTTATTTTTATTTTTATTTTCATTTCTTATCTTATTTATTTATTTATTTTTATTTTAATCGGCGTTTTATTAACGTATTTAATAGTTTTGGTTTGGGAAGATAATTAAGCTATTTATTCAACTTTGGGGTTGATTACTGTAGTTTATTCTATTATTTTGGCGGGTGAGGTTTTGATATGTTTGTTACTTTATTTATTTGGTTTGATTATCTTTACATGTTTTTTTTTTCAAACGGTTAATTTATTGGGAGCGGCTTGTTTGTTTATTTATTTGCATAAATTTAGATTAATTTATTTTACTTGTTTTTTATTATTTATTTATTATACTATATATTTTTATTTACTCTTTTCGGTTTTTGATTTTTAAGTAACGTAGTATTTTTTATCGTGATATAACAGTTATAGCTATGTTTTTGTCCGATTTTTGGTTGTTTTTTTATAGTCTAACTAATATTTTGGTCATTAATTTGTTTATTATTTACTTTATATCTTTGGTTTCATTGATTCAACGAAGAACTAATATATATATATATATATATATATATATATGAAGTCGGTTAATGAAATGAGTTCATTGAACCTTTATTCATTTATTATATATATATATATATATATATATATATATATATATATATATATATATATAGAGAGAGAGAGAGAGAGAGAGAGAGAGGCATCAGAATCAAAACTGCATGTTGACTATCTGCTTCAGGTTTAGAGTCATTAAACATTTTCATTCCTATATTCTAGATATATGATAGCATTAACTGCGATACCGAGCAACTTCTGCAAAATTTTAATACACACACACACACACACACACACACACACACACACACACACACATATATATATATATATATAGTGGACATAGAAGTCAACACCCAGAGACGACAGTCTGTTTCATGAATGAAATCATCAGGCCATGTACCTAAACTCAATCATTACATACATACGCTCTATCCCTGATATTGAGCACTGTAACCCATAAATATAGTTTACCGTTAAACTATATATATATATATATATATATATATATATATATATATATGTGTGTGTGTGTGTGTGTGTGTGTGTCGGTCACATCGGAATTTTTATTAGGTGCATTCTTCTCGTGTGATGCGTAGTCATCGTTAGCCTTTAAAACTGCCTCGAATCACGAGTTTTTGAAATATTCAGAACCATTCGGCTGTCTAGTTACAACAATCATGCCCCGTTTAAAGTGACTTAAAATATCATTCATTCCCATACAAATACAATAAATGACATTCAGTAAGGCCATATTTAAATGCCTATAGCCATTAAAATGCTGTACTTCATTGACTAATCATAAATTGGCATAAAAGTGGCTTTGTTTCCATTTACATTTATATCAATTAACTAGCTAGTAGGTGTATATACGAAGTAGGACCCAAAAGTAACCGGAATTGTGTCATATAATTTTATTCATTTATTGTTGCATATTTCTATTCTTATCACCTTCAAAGTATTTTACATTTGAAGCAATGCATCGGCCCAGACGTATTTTCCACTGTTCAAAGCAGTCCTAGAACTCTTGTGAAGTTATGTTTTTTAATGACCCCGTCGTTTTCTTCTTAACCTCTTCCACATCTGCAAAGGTTTTCCTTTGAGGACTTTCTTCATTCAGTGGAACAAAAAAAGTCGCAGGGGGGCGAGATCGGATAAATAGGGAGGCTGGGGAAGTGGGGGTCATGCCATTCTTGGTCAGAAACTGTCTCACATTCAAGGCGGTGTGTGCTGGCGCATTGTCATGATGCAACCGCCACCCTCCACTTTGCCACAGGTCAGGGCGTCTGACTTTGTCGCGCAAATGCTTCAGGACTTCCAAGCAAAAAGCCTGGTTACCAGTTTGGCCAGGAGGAACAAATTCTTTGTGGAGAATTCCTTTCACATCAAAGAACCAAATCAGCATCATCTTGACATTCACCTGAGGCGCTTTTGGGGGGTCGTGGTGACGTTGGCTGCTCCCAGTGACTTGAAAAGGTCTGGATCAACTTCCAACTGTTCTTTCAGTTTGCGACAGGCATCCATTCGTGACTGCTTTTGATCGTCCGTGAGCAAGCGAGGCACCATTTTCGCTACAACACTTTTCATTCTCAATTCCTCAGTCAAAATTCGTTGACATGAACTCCAGGACACACCAGTCAAATCAACAAGTTCGTTAATTGTTTGGCGACGATCTTCCAAGATCATTTCATGATGCATTCAACTGTTCAGGAGGTTGAATGTCGCCCTGAATGAGGCTGATCTTCCAGCGACAATTGACCATTCCTAAAAAGTGCAAACTACTCATATACTTGTGTTTTACTCGTGGCAGCATCCTTGTAAGCTGTTTTAAGCATGACAACTGTTTCGGCTGCTGTTTTCACCAGCAAAAAACAGAATTTCACAGCAGCACGCTGCTCCTTCCTTTCAGCCATGGTAAAAATAAACAAAAACGCTTGAAGCACTTCAAAACTAATGTGAACCACGGAGCTGTACGTCTTCCCACGATAACACCACTTAGCACATTGATGCCTGAGGGTTGCCTCAAGTGGCATCTAGAGGTGAAATCCTGAAATGATACATTTTTAAAAATATGGCTATAGTGCTAGGGGAAGAGTGTTAAGTATAGGAGATAGAGCTTTCGTAGATTAAACACTGGTAACTGCCAGTTTCACGCCTCGTGCGATCATCAGAAACACACAATTACCATTCGGTTTTGAGTTCCTTGTTCGCAGTGTTTATATCTATATATCTAGACGATAAATACAAAATGAACTATCAGAAATATTAGCAACATCCTTAAGATAAGAAAATTATTTAACTGGATTGTAAATATTTGACTGCAGATGTGGTCAGAAAGGAAGTCTTGCTCATTTGCAGATGTTCGCCTTTTTGCTCAGTAAGAAAAGGTTTTCAGGTGGAAATAAGACATTTGATTAAAGCCTTAAGATTAAAAATATCAACCTTATTATTCTAAGAATAAATCTATTTATTTAATACGTTTGATTTTAATCAATAAGAAAACCATTTTTGTATTCTTTGTTTATTGAAATTTGGTATTTCAAGAAGGACTTCCACTTGCAACATAGATAAATTGATTATTTATTCAGAACTATTTCATCAAAAGCTCGTATTAATGAAGCTTGACAGGCAATGAGTTTTTATCCAGCATCATTTGCGTAAAATCGAAAGAAAAAAAAAATCTTTAGATCTCTTTAAAAAAATATCATTAACTGATAAATTTATTATTTTCTTGATTACCTCTTTTTATCTACATCAAATGACAAAACATAATTCCTTTTTGTAGCGATAAAAAATGAGCGTTACGTGAGAAATACGGACTCGAACCAAATGACCCCCACAAAATATTGTCATGATTTTGTGTGGCGGATCACCTTATCTGTCTGTGATTTAGGCATGGGTTTATAATTTATTAGATAAAGACTTTCTTTTTTTGTTCATAACATCATTTTTCATTTATCATATCTCACAATATAATCTTACGGTTATTTGCTTGTTGATTCTTTCTTTCTTTCTTTCTTTCTTTCTTTTTTGTTCTCTTTCTTACTCTCTCCTTGCTTCCTGCATTTTCTCTCTCTCTCTCTCCCCCTCTCATTGATTCTTTATTTTTTCTTATTTTGTTTATCAAGCTCTTTCTCTATTTCTTTGTCCTTTTATGTTTTTACGTCTTTTTACCTGTTTATTCTTTTTCATTTTATTCTTTTTCTTCTTCACGGCATTTATCCAGATTTCCTCTTCTTGAAAAACAGAAAGAAAAGTCAACTGATAAAAATGTTTGATCAAAAAATCTCTCTCTGTCTGGGTCAATAATTTATGCAAGCAACCACACCCCGAAGAATCAACCGTTTGACCATAACTTCTTTTGCCTTCAACATTTCTTTTAGAAGAAAGCAAAAGACAAAACTTCTCACCAAATTGATTCCTAGTTTCTCAGCTCATTCCATGTTCTTCAGGGAAATCAACACCAATCTAAGTATTCGATTTTTTTCAGCTCCAAAGACCAAATAATGTGAGCCAAGCTTTGAAAGCGCATTTATATTCCCGATACGTTAGCATTACAAGTTAGTCTCAAGTCGTGGGGCATAGAGATCGTGTTAAGAGGTTTTATATTTAAAGAACAAGACGAGTTATCTCCCATTGACATTGCCAGAAGAAGGTGAACAATCCGATCTCGTAAATTAAAGGGTTCAGGCTTAAATTCTCGGGAGGTTAGCCGAATCAACAAGCAAGATGAGGACAAGAATTCGAATATAAATTATTATTTTCTGTTGAATACTTTGGTTAACGATTAAAATAGGCTTGTCAGAGTTTCCATTGGTGGACAGTTACTTTGCCAAAATCGATCATTGAAATTTAATCTGGAATTTTCCTTGTTTTGAGCAACGTGTCTTGGTTGGTTTGCTGTACTTTATTCATGGGGTGTATACGACTCCGGTTTTCATTGTATAAATGTCTTGTCAGGGGTTCTGTTGAATAATTAGGAGATGCAACATATACTTGGAAAAGACCAGAAAATGTATCGGCCGAAAGAGATTCATTAAAGCAATAAAATGTGTACATTGTTTTGAGTAAGAGTTTCAGGACTGATCTGTTGACCAAAAAAATTAATATATTGATTTCAGGATTTAAAGAGATAAATAAATTGTGTGCAACCGACTGGCAAATGTTAGGAAAAAGAAAGCGTGTGTGTGTGTGTGTGTGAGGGAGAGAGAGAGAGTGAGAGTGAGAGCGAGAGGAGAGAGAGAGAGAAAGAGAGTGAAAGAGAGAGAAATAGGAAGGCTGAAAAGGAACAAACGAAAGGAAAAAGTGAAGAAGCGAACAATACATTTTTTTTATCAAAAGAAGAACGAGAAAAGAATGAAGTTTTTTGGGGAAAAAAAAGACAACACCGAGAGAGAAATATTTGAGTGGATTTGTAGCTATTCAAAGCATTTACGTACTGGTTGTTGCAAAAATAGTTTCAAGCGCTTTCGGCTATTTCTCTAGCCATTATCAAGGATGTGTTTTGGATGGAAAAAAAATATATAAGGAGATCAGAAAATCATGCAACCTTAGTTTCAAGCTTTCGGTTGTAGGAAAAGGACTGGAATTTTTGAGAGAATTGAGAGAGAATCTTAGGTACTTCGAACTTTGCAAAGAGAGATCGAAAAGAAAAGTTATAGTTATTGAAAGAGGAGAGAGAAGCAAAGAGAATGTAATAGAAAGAGACAGATAAGGAATTTGAAGCAAGGAAAGAGAGAATACGACCGGGAAAAAAGTAAGGGAGACAGTGAGATATAAAAAGTAAGTGGGAGGCCTATAACAGTTAAATTAACTGATGCAGAAATACATGGAGAAGTAATTGAATATATTAATTAACATTATATAAAGAATATATATATATATATATATATATATATATATATATATGTTGTAGTCGAGACACTGAAATCAATGACTGTGACCAATGCCAAAGTTTAACGGTGGCGCTTTTGTCCTTGAATATTGATTTTTTTGACGCCGGGTTTTTGAAAGCTTTGGATTTGGAGAAGATGGCACGCAAAAGCAATCGTTCGGCAGCCCACTGCCCAAGTTTTGATTGCGTCTATGTGACGTTTCTTTGGTCGGCCTTAGTGTCTCTGCGAGCAACAGGCCTCTAGGCATAAGGATGACATGACCCGTCCATCGGACTTAAGCCTTGATGAGTATTGATTCACTGCTTGTCGAGTCAACACTGTCCAAAATTTCAAGAGTAGTGATGCGATCGTTTAACATGATTCAAAATTCTTGATGTGTCTGCAGTACAAACTCTATTTTTCGCATTCATAGAGGAGAGAAGAGAGACCCTTGTGTTGTACATTTTAATTTCATTGACAGGCGTTGATTGTGATAATCTCGCACACTGTTACAGAGAACCTCTCCATTGCCTGACATTTTTTTGTTGTCCAGGGAGATCCCGGGAAAACGTGCTACTCAGGTATTTCAAGATATCAATGTCTGCTATCTATGGTGATAGCTGATGAAGGGAGGGTTGGTGTTTGACGTAAGTTGATAAAGTACTTTCTCATGAACTAAGGCGGGGGTGGTTACAATTATCAGCGAAAAGGCTCTTCTGGTGGAAATGTTGAAGAATCTTGGTTTTGGCTCAGATACGAAGAAGGTCAGAAAAGGGGGGTATCCAGATGATATCGAATATAGTTCTCTTCCTCTAGAATTGTTTGCTCGAGAGAGCATGCGCGTGTAGAAGACGTTTTGAATTTGGAAAAATAGTAAGAGAATGAGTGAGTGAGTTTGTGTGAGAGAGAAAAGAGATATACATTTATATTAGCCAGTTTGGCTGACAGACAAATACCTGAGAGCATATAAGTAACCAAAGAGATAGACTAACATTGATAAAGAAATTCAGCCGGGTTTCGATCCTACCTAGAGGCAACCGGACGTCTAGCCACACTAAAGAGCTGTCATACATCGAAAAAGTCTGTCTGTGGATGTTAGATTGTTGGAAAAACCCAATAAAACATTAATTAAATATTTCTTGTCCGCTTTCAATGTAAGATATATGAAAGAAAGCTTGCTGTTCAAATACAGATCAATATATATATATATATATATATATATATATATATATATATATATATATATATATATATGAGAACTCTTATGTAGCGTTGGAATCATATTTTAAATAATATAGATATAAAAGTGAACATTGAAATCAGAGGCGACAAGCTGTTTCATGCAAACAAGCCTGACGATTGCGTCTAGCATGAAACAGCTTGTATATATATATATATATATATATATATATATATATATATATATATATATATATAATCAGAGATTAGCCAATCACGCAACCTTGGTTTCGATCTTTTGGTATCCTCAGGCAATATAAGCCAAATGATTTCCTAACGCTTTATTATGAGGTATATTTAGGTAGCAGGTATAAACAAATTAATCAAACTTGTTTATATATATATATATATATATATATATATATATATATATATATATATATATATATATATAAATGGACTAAGTTCGACAATTATTTTAATATATTATATTGTTATACGTTATTTATATAG